TTTGGCTCTGCCTCACCCAACAATTTGAAAACTGCCTTAAACCAAGTCAAACCTGGTTTATCTAGCCTGGATATTTAGATTGGAATCTTTACTAGCTTTATTTAGGAATATTTCAGGTTTGATCTAAAGGTACGAATTGAATTGGCATTAACAGGCCCTTTCCACTGTTATGAATTCAGATCCTCAGGGTAAATGCCTCTCCTTGTCTTTGTTCCTGGTTTGTAAAGTAGGAATAACAGGAACTCTTAATGGAATTAGTAAAGCACGCCAATGACTTTGCACATAAAAACAGCAAGGTCTGTATGTAGGGGGGTTCAATTGCATGATGCCAACATCTTGCCTTCACCTCCTTCCCAATGTATGGCCCTGCAAATAATAGTAAGACTGTGTGTTAAAATTGTTAGTCACTTTGGTGAGAGCAGCTTTTCATAATTTGATGCCCTTTAGGTTAGTTGGATTTCAATTGTCTAAATTTTCAGCCCATACAACAGCATTTTTCCTAGTATCCAAGGGAAACGTTGATTAGTGTATAGTAGTGTTGCATACTGAGTCTTTGTAATTGTATAAGATTTTTTCCTCTTAAGGAACTCAGTGTAACTTAGAAATGTGCTTTGTTTCTTTCACTCACATCTGTTCACTCATCCTGAAAGAAGCAGCCTCTAAATTATTTTTGGCCCTCTCTTTTAAAACTTTTTTGCCTCTGAAAAGTGCCTACAGCTGAAGGCATAATATCCAAAAAAGACATAATTTTCTTTATAAGACCGGAAAAGAGATACTGACGTTTGTTTGTTTTTTACATTTTTCCTATAATTATATACAGTATATTTTTTGAGCAAGACAGGTGCACGTAATTTTTATTATACATATAGTTCATTTACATACATTACATTTTGTAGAGACTCAAGAATAGTCCTTAGCTAGGGTATAATGGTTAAAGAGTTAGACCAGGATGGAAACCATAGTTCAACTCCTTGCTTAGCCAGGAAGTTTTCTGTGTGTTCCTGAGCATATCTCTCTCTCATTCTCTGTCTGTCTGTCTGTCTGTCTCTCTCACACACACATCCCTAACCTACTATATAGGGCTATTGTGAAGATGACACTGGAGACGTAGGGGACCACAATGACCTCTTTGGAAAAAGGGATTATAAACCAAATCAATACCAATTTGTTTGAGTAGTGGAAAAAGCTTTAGAAGGAGGGGAGGAAAATGAAACAAGCATCAGCTGAAAGAATTACGTGTTTGGTTCAATTACACATCCCTTTAGCAAGTGATGAAGGTGATGTGGTTGTACCAAAATATCTTTTCTTGGGGACTTGAAATGACAAGAGATAACATGGGAGTGCTTAGAAAGTGATTGCAGGTGGTAAGGGGCAATAAGGAAGAATGGGCAGAGATAACTGAAGAAGTAGGAGACCTGTGGATGGCTGATGTCATATAAAGATTGTGAGAGGAGCTGAACTGGATTATGAGATTGAGGAAGTAATAAAGTGACAGGGTGAGAATTCCCCCTTTCTTGGAAGTGAATGTTTCACCATAAAAACACTCATTTTTAAGGATATACAAGGCTGTTTGTCAAAATTGGCTGCATGTAGTAGCCTCAATCCTTCAGGGTTTTTTTTTAAAGTTGGATATGGTCTGCAAAAATCCAGAGGACCATTAGCCAAGACGTAAAGAAGACAATGTGTCATGTGTTAAATGACCTGGTTAAGTGCATTGTCTAAAAATTGCCACAGTGGGCAAATACAGAGGTAACCATTTACTGTACCTTAAGAAGATGGGAAATTCCCTTACACTCCAAAGTCTCAAGCAGTTAATTTGCCCATTGCCTTCTGCCTGATCCTATTTTATTTATTGTATACATCAGACCTGCATCCTGAGAAATCCTTACAGATAGATTAGGCTTAAATCCCCAGAATTTTCATCAATGGCCATGTTGCCTGTATAATTCTGTAAGTTGAGGGCCAGGCATCTTGAAGGATGCCCAGGTTAGAGCAATTTGGTGGGACGTTCTATATATTCCTAGTCTGATGAAAACCTGCCTCTTTGACTTTCATGATTTTTGATTAAGTGCAAAAATGTGTGACAGCATTTTCCTCTTTCATTGGCAGGATAGTCAAAACACAAAGCCTGCATGCACGGCAGGTGCAATTAAATGGTTAGGCATGTCAAAATTTGTACCAATGATGCATATTTCAATTGATGCTTAAAATAATTCTGAGTGCTTGCCTGCTCTTGGATGCAATGTTGTCAAATCAATTTTGTCTTCTACAGCTGTAAATTGTGCAGAAAAAGCACATAACATGGAAATAGTGGGAAAGAGAAATTTTTTCTATCACATTAATTCGTAAGTGTATTACTTGAACCAATAAAGGTGATGGCAGGGGGATTCAGGAAAGACCAAACATAGTTTTCCCTCATCCAATACATAGCTCGCTTGTGGAATTTGCTGGCATGGAACATTGATAGTAAAAGGAATAAGATGATGGATGAATTCAGCAACAGCATGATGGGTGCACTGTTGGAAGATTAGAAATACCAGGTTAGGGACAAATCATCCTGGAGAAAATCTATATGGATGCTAAAATATCACATAATCAGTCAATTCAAAAAAGAGATAAGACTGTACCATCAGTAGCTACTAATGATAAGTTCAACATCCTGGAACATACTGTCAAAGAATTTATAGATGACTTGATATGAAAGGACTCTTGAGAAGGGACTTGGAGAAGTGATCCCACAATCCAGAGGTTGAAGCAAGTGTGAGAATGAAACTCAGATTAAACCCTTCTTGATTTTGTTAGCATAAGAGGATACAGAGAGAAACTTAGAAAAGTTTCAAAATTCTATTTTTTTTGCCCTGCCACAATATAGTAGTTTTCCTGGAATCCCTGCAGTGCCTGCCTTGTGACCTGGCCTACCTTGAAGGGCTGATAAAATTAATTGTAAGGGAGGTCAGGAAGCAACATGAAAGGACCTTTTCCTCCAGAACGCTAAAGTACTTTGATTTTATGGAAGAATTCAGCATGTAGTTTATCCTGCTAAATGGCTCAATTTGATCTAGATTAGGTTTTTTTCTTAGCATAGGACCCCCCCCCCCATGCAGTCTGAACATGAGATGCTTGGAAATAAATCATTCTACCTTCAGTTATATTGGAGTGCATTTGAAAAATAATCCTGCAATCTAGAATTATGTGTTTCTCCTTTCCTATATTCAATATATCAAAGTCTTTTGAAGTATACATATTGCAGTCATTCCGTTTATATGCCAAAGTGGAAGATGGAACTGGAACTAGAACTTCCTTGGAAAAAAAATTAGCTATTTTTGTCAGTAGGTGGGCATGATCCAACAATGTTGTTTAGAATAGATGATGCCAGTTAAATCCTCACCATGTTTAATCTCTCTCTCCTTTCTGTGCAACTGCAATTAGCTTTCCTGTCTGTCAGAGAATCAGGCTATCAACATGTCAAATGTCAGTGTGTTTATTTGCAATTTGGCGATGATGATTTTGTAGATGCTACGGAATGAGATGCCCTCAAAAATTGCAGATTGCAGATTCTGTTAAAAATTCATAGCAATTCAGATTTTTGTTTATACGTATATGGGGGCTGGGAAGGTTTATTGGCTTCAGAGTATAATAAACGTGAGCTGCATTTCACTGTAAGAGCATTGAAACTTTTATGGTATTTTACTGCAGTTCAGGAATGTGAGGATTTACCCTGCGCTGAAATTTGGGCAAGTACAGCATTCTTTGCATTCTTTTACAACAGGAAAAATACTCCGAATCTGTATTTGCCACATATTTCTCTAGAAACCAACGGAAATTTTAAGCAACCTAAGGCTCACTGTGTTGTGAAACTGATAATAATTGCTTATATTACATATTGCAGAGAAAGTTGCAAGCCAGGATCAGAGCTTGAGATATAGAAAAAAACTCTTCCAGAAAAGCAAAGATGAGAAATGGACACAAATGAAGTTTTGCCTTGCCTTGTAGACACCACTGACTCTCTGGCTCATTCTACAGTATCTTTAAGCAGCAATCTTTTCTCTTTGCAGTTTTGTTTTGTTTTTTTAAAAAAGCTGTGTTCCTAGTTAAATCACTTTTTGGAATACAGCTTTAGTATCCATACTAAAGTTTCAAAGTTTTGAGAAGAGAGGAAGGTAACAATTAGCTTGTATGTAGAATGTAAACATTTGCTGTAGGAAAATGATAATATTGAAAAACTAAAGGCATCTATATTGAAGAGAGATTAGTAATAAGAAATCTACAATGGCATCTTCCTGTGGGCATTATAATCCCTTTTCAAGAGAAAGAAGCGAGGGAAAAGGGACCCAGAAAGCCAGAAAGCATCGCACATTTTCTCTGATCAGTTCAAAACAGATTTTCAGTATCAAATGTTTTGTAAAATAAATAGTTTAGTAGGAGCCGAGAAGAAAACAGCAACGGAAAAGTAAAAGGTGGCTGAGGCAAGATAAATACACGTACTGAAAAAAGCACAACAAACATCTTCTTAGCAAATGCCTGCCACTACATACATTTCAGGGCACACAGGAAAATTCCATCACCCCCCCCCCCCCGCTCTGAATTGATGAAATTTCTCTATAGGGTCCCCCTATCCTGGTCCCTACTTTTCTTTTGAAAAGAAACACTGATTTGTCAAAGAGAAATTCTTTTTGAACCATCTTGGGCAGAACACATTCAGCTAGCTAGCTTTCTTTCAACTCTATTCTCGGACTAAAATATCTTGAAGAGGCTTAACTCCATGAAACAAGGATTTGGACACAGGAGGAAGTCATTTAAAAAACCCAAAAGTGCACCCCCCTCGCCAACAAACACTCTCTTTCCAGTCCGCCCCATTGAAATCTCCCAGTTGCAAAGAGCTGGGCTAAGGAAACAAGGCTCCTGCAGTGCTAGAAACTCATTTCCCAAGCTGTTAAAAGACACCCCAAGACAAAGAGAACACAGCAGCATGCTGGCAGTTTGGCTGAGCAGCCGCCTACCTGCCGGTGCACTCCGAATGCCAAGATTTCTTCCGATGTCCGAACCTTGCACTGTTTCTCTGTCAGTGTGGCCCTTATATATGTACAGGGAAGGCACACACAGAGAGAGACACACACACACACACCTCCCCAGCCCATTAACATGTGTATCGGTGAGTCCAACCCTCTGAAGAAGCCACCTGACTTACACACTGCCTAACAGCTGGATACCCCTTGACACCCTCCAATGAAACCTTCCCAAAAAGGGTTTGTCACACTTCAAGCAACTGAAACAATGGCACATGTGCACACACACACACACACACACACACACACATGTACACGCACGCACACATGCACACAAACACACACACATCCATCTCATGCCAGCCCTATAGTCATATGGGCAGCCCTAAAGCGAGGCTTTTGCTGCATGCTTTGTTTGAGAGATAACACGCTCACACCTCTGACTGCAAGGATAATAACAGAGTGGCTCACTCAAGCATCCCTGATGAGATATCTGGCAGAATTTGATGCTTCCAGACCCCTTGGAAGCTGCCATAGACCAGCCACATGGTTTCTTAAGCTAGACTGGTAGGCAATTTTTCAGAGCCCAAGGATTTACCCTTGTTTAAATCTTTGCAGCCAAGGGTTGCATTCAACAATCAAAAAGGTGACTGTGATTGTGGGTGTGGCTCTGACACGAAAATGGACATGATTAAGAAATAGTAAGAAGTATTTTCCCCACTTCATCCTCAAAGTCTTAAAATAGTGAAAGAATAAGAACCAAACATAATGATTAAAAGGGTCATTCATAACTAAATTCTGGCAGCAAACAAACTTCTGAATTTATGTGGCATGCTCCGGAGGCACTCCAAGGATGTGAGATGGCAGGCTGGGTGACCCCATATGTGCTGAGAGCTGGCATATTCTGTTATAGGAGCCCTTATCCACTGCGAACAAAAGAGTGGAAAACCTCGGAGCCCAAAGAAAAACTCTACGTAACTCACATACTAATAAGTGATCTCAGGCATATTCTATACCTCAGTTCTAACCATATACTACAAAAAGAACATTTTCCTGTTTTTTCTGTTAACAGTTTAGTCCATCAACTATCCTTCCTTCCTTCCTTCCTTCCTTCCTTCCTTCCTTCCTTCCTTCCTTCCTTCCTTCCTTCCTTCCTTCCTTCTTTTCTTTTCTTTTTTCTGCCTTTGAGTTCATCTTGATTCCTGACAACTACCTGGACAAGTCCCTGCAGTTTTCTTGGGAAGATTTTCGGAAGTAGTTTGCCATTGCCTGCTTCCTAGGGCTGAGAGAGAATGACTGGCCCAAGGTCACTCAACTGGCAGGACTACAGCTTTTGGTCTCTCTGTTTTACCCTGATGCTTTAACCACTACTCCAGATTAGCTCACTCTTCTGTTGCTAGCATGTATTAAATCATCATACCTGTAATGTATTTCCCATATTGATCTTATCCTCCCCTTCATTTTCTCTTCTCCCTTGTGTTGAATTATACAATATAGCCCCCCAAAGTGAGCAGGCACACTTTGATAGTATTCTTCTGGTCAAGGGATTTATTTTATTTATTTTTGCACCAGAAGGTCACATTGGATGTAACAGTAGCAGAGTGAAGCTACAGGTAGGAATGGAACTGAAATGTTCAGACTGGTGGGTTGTCCACTTTTAGAAAGAGGGACTTTGAGTTTTTTCAAATTAAAAATCAAAACATCAAGACAAATGAGAAATATAGTATACTGTATTTATCTTAGGGATCACAACTTTTTAAAAATCCAACAAAACATTGCCATTTTACTGTTAAATTCGGACAGCTCAGTCTGAAGTAGCTGTAGGGGTTACAAAAATAGTCAGGGACCTTTTAGGTTTCCCACTGATGGTTCACTGATGGGAAATTAGAAGTGTACCACGAAATAAATGGCAGTGTTCCTAGTTTTCTTCCTTCCAGGAGTTCTCAAGTCAGTGTTCTGGGTTCCCCTTGGCAGATAAGCATAAAAACAATCCCAACAAAAGGTCAGGACCATGGACAGATAACTGAGGGGGGCTAGATTTGTTTACTTTAGCTTCTTCGATTTGGTGCCTCCAGCAGTTTTGGACTACTATCTATTCCCATCGATCATGTCAGTTATCTAAAATATTTGGTATGAATCAACTGAGGAAAGCTAATAATGCTTGTGTGAAGCATTATTTATTTTTATTTATTTTATTTATCATATTTATTTATCATGTTTAAGAAGTCCCCATCTCCCTTGGAAAAAACATGGTTGTACTCTGGAAATACTGAACATTTGAAGTAGAAATGTGAACCTGTATAGAAGGGTCCAATGATTTATAACTAAACCCCAATATAGAACTTAGAATCACAGGGCTGTAAGGGACCTCAGAGGGCTTCTAGTCCAACCTCATGCTCAAGCAGAAGACTTCATACCATCCTGGTCAAATGATTGTGTAATCCAATTTTGAAAATCTGCAATGATAGAGTACCCACAACTCTGGGAGGCAATCTATTTCATTAGCAATAGCAATAGCACTTAGACTTATATACCACTTCATAGTGCTTTACAGCACTCTCTATTTACAAGCGATTTACAAATATCAGCAGATTGCCCCCAGCAATCTCGGTCCTCATTTTACTGACTTCAGAAGGATGGAAAGCTGAGCCAACCTTCAGCCAGTCAGGATTGAACTTCTAACAGTGAACAGAGTCAGCCTGCAATGCTTCATTCTAATCACTGAGCCACCAAGGTTCACTAATTAATTATTTTTACTGTCAGGAAATTTCTCCTTATTTCTAGGTTGGATTTATCTTCAACAAGTTTCCAACCATTACTTTTTGTCCAGCCCTCTGGGGTGCTTTGGAGAATAAGTCAATCCCTTCTAGATTTCTCTCTGACCAATATTGGGGTGATAAAGTTGGGGCAAAAGATGATCTAAAAATACTTTTCGTGGTGGCATGTTTGTGGAATCGGTTTGCAATTAGAGTAGTCCCAAATAATTGTCAAGCGTTTTAGGAGGTAAATAAAGGTACACTTCGACTTCTCTAGTGGGGTTTTTGAAATTCAACATTTGCAGCTATGAACACGGATTTCAAATGTCATTATCCCCACACAGAAAATTGAGCTGAGAGAATATTGCTAGAGCTTCTGCCAAAGTAAGCTCTGAGCCACTACTCTTTTAGAGCTCTTTGTTTCTTAGAATATCTACAGGTATCTGAAGAGAGGTGGACTTTCAAAAAGCTTACAGCAAATTTTTTTTACAAAGCCTATAGTGCAAACTGAGGTTATGCACTAAGAAAGGTCCTTTAATTGAAAAAGAGATAGCAGAGAAGAAAAACCAGTATGAGATAATGATTAAGATATTGGATTAGGACTGGGAAAATTTAAACTGAAGACCACAATCAGTTGTGCAAATTGATTGATTGACTTCAGACCTGTCATAATACCTTTATACAAATTTGTAGTGCAATGACTTTTAGATTGACATACCCAAGTCTGATTGACAGCATTCACGAAGAATACTGTAGAACTGGAAAATATGTAGAAAATGAAATTTTGCAAGAGAGGAGGGGAGAGCCTGTTAGAGATGTAGACATTCTGGATAGGGAGGTTCTCTCTTAGAACATGAGAACTTGGTATAATCGGAATGTATACATATGTACATGTAAATCTACTTCTGGATAGTGTTTGATACAAAGAGCTGAAAACAAGCAAAAAAAACCAAAATCCAGGACTATGATTAAAAATATCTTTTTAAATGTAAATGACTACAAAGCAAAAGTAACTGAATAGCCCCCATTTGCACTGGGCAGTAGATAAAACAGTGGTTTTATGCGCTTTCCATAAAAAGGACTTATGAAAGTGATGTCTGAGTGTTTTAAAAAAAGTGCATTGTTCTATTTCATCATCATCATCATTAGAGTTGGAAGGGACCTTGGAGTTCTTTCTTTCTTTCTTTCTTTCTTTCTTTCTTTCTTTCTTTCTTTCTTTCTTTCTGTCTGTCTGTCTGTCTGTCTTTCTTTCTTTCTTTCCTTTCTTTCTTTCTTTCTTTTCTTTCTTTCTTTCTTTCTTTCTTTCTTTCTTTCTTTCTTTCTTTCTTTCTTTCTTTCTTTCTTTCTCTTTCTTCCTTTCCTTTCCTTTATTTCATAGGTAGAGGTCACTTGTTACTTTTATTTACTAAGAATGCCAGTGGGGATAATGGAAGTCCCCGGGGCTTGACATTTTCTTGTCTGGCATTCCTTTTTTTTTCTTTCCTTCTTGGACGATTCTTAAAAATTAAGATGCCATGGAGTGTGTCCATGGATGCATTATTGTTACTAAAATTAGGATAGGAATGCTACCTTTCCATTCATGCCATTCGGTTTATTCATTTCAGGAGAGAAAAATCCCTTTTCCTGTTTTGGATGCTGCCAGAAAGAGCCTGATTCTGATTTATCTCTTCTAGCCATTTTTTCTCCAGCTTCAACTCTCTGAATTTCCTCTCTCATTCACATTTCACTGAATCAAATGGATGTCTTCTGCACATTCCTTCCTTTGGATTAGTCTTTTTTAGGGGTATTTTTAAGAGATCGTTTTCATTTTGTACTTTATCACTGTCATTTATTTATATGGTTTCCTATTTAGACAATCACATGTCGCTTTTATGTGAAATCATCATGTAGCATGCTTTAGAATATTCATAATCCTTGAGAACCTTCAAACATTTTATTAATTTTTTAATTCATTTTTTCTTTCTGAGTTTCTAAAGAGGTTGCAATGGCTAAGCTCAGGTTAAGACACAATGCCTGTATTCCTGTATAAAATGATGTGCACACACAAATACATTGTACTGCTCCTTAAGCAGTACACTTGTTCAACACAACACACAAAGACCATGAGTCATTCTCCGTAAATCATTTGCTATGTCCATGCAACTGTTATCATTGTGGATTTGCAACACTGGGCACCGGTGGATTTGTCCTGTAGTATCCTCAAGACTATGAAAAAGTTGGAGAACCACAGCATATTAATTATATGTCTGTTCCAATAATTTTCCCAGGCTTTCCAGCTATGTTATGTGATTCAGTTGGCAGAGCCAGGTCTTCCATATAATATGTGGTCTCAGGAAACACAGGGGTACTATGTTTAAAAATCAAACAC